GATTTGACATGAAGAAAGGACCTTTATGACCCTGCAGAATTCCACATTTCAGGGCACAGCGTCTCCTTAGCTGTTCATTAACTGCTGTTCATTAATTAGCTGCTTCCTGAGCGCCTCACCTGTGAAGTCAGGCAGGGCCTTGTCGTCCACCAGGAGCAGGGGCCGCACCTGCTGCTGCTCCAGGAGGTTCCTGGCTGCTGTCAGGGAGGTGAAGATCTCGTGCTCGGCGATGTCGAAGCCCAGCCCCGTCAGCCTCTCCAGCAGGTCCCTCTTGCTCTCCTTGGTGGTGTTGGTCACAAACCGGACGGTCACTGGGGCACTGCGCAGCCTGGGGGGGACACAGGGGCAGGCTGGGCACAGGCTCCGCCTGTTCTCACCCCTCTGCTTCTCTCTGGGGCCAAAAGCAGCCCCAAAGGCTGCAGATGAAAAGAGCACACGGGAGACTGGTGCCACACAAAAAGCTTCTGTGACGCGGAACAGACAGCAAGAATTACACCCCCCAGACCAAGGCAAGGCATCCTCCCCTCCTCTCCCCCTCTACCACAAAAATTCCTGAGGAAAACAGTGGTTGCAACTCCCTCTTCACAGCAGCAGCCAGCACGTCCATGATCACTAACTCGAAAAGCCTTTTTATTCAAACCGCACAATAAATAAGCCAGTCCCACTTCTTGGTCAAAATAAGCAGAACAAAAGAAGTTTGTTGCTGAATTAATATTGAATTCAACTGCTGGGTGAATTTCCCAGCAGCTGTGGCTCGTTCAGGAGGCTCCAGGAGCCTGTGTTACCTTGGTGGTGGTTTTATGTCAGCTTCTGCAACCATTTTCCCCTTTCCTGAGGAACACCAGCATCACATAAAACCATGTTATTGCCCTGTGCTGACAGTAAATGCTACCAAACAATCAAATAATTTTAAGTGACAGTTTCAACAGCATTCCCTTTAATTATTCCCCCACCATCACTTTCTCTGTTGCTATAGGAACAAACACAGGCATCAGGATTGTGTGGAGAACATCAGAATAAAGTTGGAGACTTGCTTCCACCTGACACTTCCTTCTATCTCTTGTTTTACACTGACCATTCACAGGTATGAGCTGGTTAAAAAAGTCCCCTGGTTGATAATAAAATAAAAATTAATTTGATTTTTCCCTCTGGACCTCAATAGGGAACTGTGAACACAGCAACCCTAAAACAGGCATTTCTCCATGTGTTCCCTGAGCTAGCTGCATGCCATTCCCTCCAGCTTCTCCTTGGGAAGGACAGGGATGTGGACTGGCAGAAAAGAGAGTGGGATAACAATTTTTTTCAAACCTCTGAGCCAAAGGCCTGGCTGTTCTTTGCCACCTGCCCTCCAAAGCTGTGGCAGCACATATGTATTATATGGAATTTCAGGAACATTGACTCTCGTTTCTCCCAGCAGTGAGTGAAAGGGCAATCAATGAGTACCCAGTGTTTCAGCAGTTTTTACTTCCTTGCAATTTTACATCTTAAGGACATAATCATTTCCACAGCACACCTGTGGGAAATGCAGCTTCCTCATCCCTCTGTGAACTTTTCCTCTGAGCTACAGTCCAGCTTTATAAAACCCTTAGCAGCCCATTCAGCTCCAGTAGAGAGTTCAGTTCTGTTCCCATATCCTGATTAATCCTTAGTGCCTCAGAATCCTAAAGTGTCCCCCTTCGTTCACCACAATATCAGCTATCGCTCTGGGATTTTTCCTCATCCATTGCAAGATGTCTTCTCCAGGAAAACACCACAAATATTCCTGGGATTATGTGTCCTATTTCACCACTGATCTGGTTTGAATAAATCACTTTGCTGTGCCTCAGTGTCTTTAGACACCCTTCAACCACAAGAGAAAGAGTTAATCTGACTGTCTTGTTTATTAATGCATTGAAATTCCCACAAAAGAAAAAAAAAAATGAGGTTGCCTACCTAGCAGAAAGAAACTTTAAAAACAGTAATAACCGAGAAAAGTGTTGTCTGAATGAAGTGAAAACTCTGCAGAGGTTGCCTTGCTCCCCAGACCAAGCTTTTCTATTATCCCGTTCAACCACAAGAGTTAATTTGACTGTCCTGTTTATTAATGCATTGAAATTCCTATGAAATAAAAAACAAATGAGGTTGCGTACCTAGCAGAAACTTTAAAAAAAGTAATAACTGAGAAAAGTGTTGTCTGAATAAAATGAAAACTCTGCAGAGGTTGCCTTGCTCCCCAGACCAAGCTTTTCTATTATCCCACTTTATCTCAGCACAGGTCTAAAATATCTGACAGATGATTAAAGCACCGAGGAACAGCTCAGCTGAACTGATTTTGGGGTAATTCACCCAAACGTTATCCCACTTTATCTCAGCACAGGTATAAAATATCTGACTAAATGATGATTAAAGCACCGAGGAACAGCTCAGCTGAACTGATTTTGGGGTAATTCACCCAAACTCAACTTCGGCTGTGGCTGTCTCACCTGTGAAACAGTGGAGACACCTTGAATATTGGTGGTTTTATGTCTAGAAAAGGCTTAGCAAACATGGGAAGAGCTGCTGAGGAAAGCAGCAGGGGCCCAGGTGACACCAGTATCTCTCTCCACCCTTTGCCGAGCTCTCCTGGCACAAACACAGTGCAAAGGATTCGGCTGCGCGCTCGCTCCACTCACCCACCCCTTTGTGCAAACACCACTGACACAACCTCCCAGAGCAAACCAAACCAAAAAAGAGGCAAAACTTGCCTTTTGAGGGCCTCCTGGGCGCCGGGCACGGCCGAGTCCTCGACGTGGAGGGTGCCATTGAGATCCACCAGCACGGCCTTCAGCGCGCGCCGCGCCGCCATCGCGCCCGGGGACAGGCCGAGGCACCCCGGGACTGCTGAGGATTTAAAAAAAAAAAACCCACATAATTGATTGGGGGGGTGTTTTCCGCACAAAGACTCTGTGGAAATCAGGTGCTGACTGCTCTTTAAGTGCATCAAAACAAAATAAAGTTCTCTGAAGGACTCAAGGGTGCTGGGGGGAGAGAGGGCCATGAGGCCTGCGACTGCAGGCCCAAGGCCTCAGCAAGAATATTTCAGCAAGTTCCGCTGACATCGACAGTGAAAATAAAGACACAGTACTCTAAAGCTGTGTCTCTAAAGCTGCATTTTGGCTGTAAAGCTCAGAACGCTCTGCCAAAGTGGAAGCTGTTGATTTTATTTTTGTAAGAGTTATGCAGACCACACCACAGCCACCCTGAGGGGGCTCAGTCAGGATTTTTGCAGATTTTTAGCCTGGAATGACCTGAGCCCTGAGAACTTCCTGACCCATTCAAAGGGTCATTCCATGCTCTCATTCCATGCAAAAGGGACAGGTTTTCTGATTCCACGTACTCAGCCCAAAATCAAAGCCATGATTTGAAGGGTAGGGCACCAGAGGATGAACAGAGGGGTGATGTTTGAGTCCCCCAGCTCAAGATCTGTCTCCAGAAACAAACACTTCCCCCCTCACGTGGGCTGGAAGTGCTGCATTTTGCTCCGTGAACGAGTCTGAGGAGCTGCTTCTCAGAAAATGTCCAATACAGCACAGTTTTCTCCTGTTCATTAGACAAGAACCATCTGAAAAGGCTGGAGGATTTGGGATTATAGAAGAGAGGCTTGGGGGTGATCTGATTTTGGCATTTCAGTACCTGAGGGACAATTTCCAAGTGATGAAGGGACAGGGCACAGGGAAAATCCCATATATCCTTCCCAATATCACATGTGTCCCTGTCCCAGGGGGCAGGCACAGATTTTGGGATGTTGGGCAGGAATTGGTGGCTGGGAGGGTGGGCAGGCCCTGGCCCAGGGTGCCCAGAGCAGCTGTGGCTGCCCCTGGATCCCTGGCAGTGCCCAAGGCCAGGCTGGATGGGGCTGGGAGCAGCCTGGGACAGTGGAAGGTGTCCCTGCCTGTGACAAGGAACTGGAGGGGCTTTAAGGTCCCTTCTACCCAAACCACTCTGGGATCTGCCAACCCTATGACTGACCACAATTTTGTATTCAGCTGGTTTGGTTACAGACAGCATGTAGCATTTTTAAAAAAGCACACAGAGTAGACAACACCATGACTGGACCCTGCCCTAGTAAATTTCTTTATCTTTGCAGACAGTTTTATAAATGGTCATGTGGGCCTGGGGTCTCAGGTACACCACACACACACACAACGTGTAACTTTGATATTCCACTACCATTATTGCTGCTGGTTCTCTGCAATATGAAAATAAATAAAAATGCTTCCCTTACTGTATGTCTGCTGATACAAAAGCCAAAGTTAAATGTTAATGATACACAGCTGAAAACAGAACTCCTAAAGAAGCTTCACCAATTTCAATGAAAATATCTACTTTTATTATTATTACAACTATTACCTCTGTTACTGCTTTTATTTTGCTGTTACTATTTTATTGTTACCCTACATTTCCATCGGTTCTGCTGTTCACAGTGCATTTATTCAGGAAATGCGGAAGTTATCTGCAGAGCCAGTTTCCAGCACAGCCTGATTTTAAGGAAAAAGCTCATGGACTGCCCGGAAGTCCTAAAAGGCCTCCAGAACCTCAGTTTTTATAATCACAACCCAACGAAAACTCACCTTGTCAGGACAAAGGGACACCCCAGTCCCGGTCTCTGGGACAAGGACACGAGGAACACAAGACACAACCTAAGGGAAAGAGGGATATATTCTATACAGATATAGGTGGTTATATATGTCCCTCGGTGGAAGGATGCGGACGGCACAGGCGTGCGTCCTCCCGACCCGCAAAACCCCCTCTGGCGGGGATGGTACCGCCCCTTCCCGCCAGACCGCAACGGGCACACGGGCTGGCCCATTCCCTACCGGGGGAGTCCCGACCGCGGCGAGCTCCCCTTTCCCTGACGCGGATGGTCCCGCCCGCCCGTTCGCGGCCGAAGGCGGCGGACGCGCCCACGCGGAGGAGAGGGGGGGAGCAGCTGGCTCCCCCGGCACTGACTGTGCCCGCCGCCCGCGGGGTCCTGGCGGAGCCGCGCCCGCCCGGCCCCGCGCCGGGCCCGTCCGCCGCCAGCGCGGCAGAAAATGAACAGAATGTAATGATTATTGTAATAAATAAACACCGATCTCTGCCCGCAGTGGGCCCGCGGCCGGTCGGCGTCCGGCAGCCGGGACAGGCAGCGCGGGGGCAGCCCGCAGGGCCCTGAGGGCGCGGGGCGCGCCGGGACGCGGGTATGGTTATAAATGATATAAATTACACAAATTACACCCGTTCTGTCCTTTGTATCCCCCTTGTTACACCTGTTACAGCCGCTTTATCCTATAGATACAATGTGTGATCGTACCCTTTGTGGTATGATCATAAATCATGTAAATTATATCCCTTATATCCTATATGGCCATGTTTATATGTAGCCATACACTACGGATATCCATAAATATTTATCAATAATATATCAATAATCTCTATATTGTGGATATATTGTGCCCTGTATGGATATTATACATAATAGTGTATTCATATATCGATATTATGATATTTATATATATATAAACGTTATATACAAAATGTTATCATATCCATATATGGATATATTATACCCATAATATATCCACGGTAACTAGTATGTATTTATATATAAATACATATCTATATCTTGGCTGTTAAGAAGAAATTATTCCCATTATATAACTACAATTTAATGTTTTAAATTACATCCATAATATGTCCATAGTTATAATACAACATAATACATATTATATTATGATCCAATTATTATATCTATATATCAATATATTTTAAAACCTATATTTATAATTCTACATTTACATGTATTTATATATTTTTGTAACATGAATTTTAATCTACAAACGCATGCATTTTATATATAGTTTTACCAACTTACTGACATGTAATAACTTTATTTTGCACGTTCCTTGTTTTCTGCAGTTTCAGCCGCAGAGCTGCTCCAGAGCTGCTGGAAGCCACTCCGGGGACAGCAGCAGCGTGGTTATTCCCTGGCTGTCCCTGCACACCTGATCCTCGGCTGCTGCCCCACTTTGAATCCCGATTTTTCCTCTCTCAGGTGAAGCTTGTCCCAGTTTTGCCTCCAGCGCGGGGTTCCCGCTGCTCCTTCTCCTTGCCCGCGTGCCCGCAGCCCCTCTGGAAGCACAGCAAGGAGAACATCACTTTTCACACATTTTATTTCCAAGCTGCTGCTTGCAATCTTTAGTGCTGGCCTTTTTCAGCAAGGAGAGATTAAGTTTTGATGCAGAAATGGAGTTAGGGCCTCGCTGTGCCTCAGGCCGCTCAGCGCTCGCTCCCAGTGCCACGGAAACATCCTGCCGCTTTTCTTTCCAATGAAATTTCACAGGGATACAAAATGTTCCACGGGCACATTGCCCCGTTTCCACCAAAGACAGACCCGTGAGAACAGCTGAGCCAGGCTGTGCCCTCCTCACCTCTGACTGACACAAACATCATCACAGGGAAAATTACTTCTAACAGATCCACGGGTTTTTAAACCAAAGGATCCTGCAGATCCTGTTCTGCCTCACGACAGCGTCTGGCTGGGTTTGCTGCAGAAACCAAAACACAGCTCCACAGCAGATACTGCCCTGTGCCACAGGGATGAGGGAAAAGTTACACATTTCTGGAACAGGATGGAGCAGAGTTTTGAGATATCCCCACTGCACACACAGAGAGAGAGAGAGTTGGGAAAGAGAGTGCTTGGAAATTCAGGATTTATTTACAAAAATCACAAGAAAGATGGAAACAACATAAACCTCTCCTCCTGGATGTACTCTGCAAAAACCTGTGATTGAAGATCATTAAATGCATTTACACGTTTAACATTCTTCTTCATATACAACAGCATATGCTTTAGTCATCAAGGCGTCGGGAGAAAAGATGATTGACCAAGCTGCTTTAAAATAATGAAACTTCCACGTTTCCCTTGGCCTCCCCTCTTTAAAGTCATTTAGCAGAGAAACAGACAAAGAGTTCTAACTTCTCTATAAAGACACACGAGAATCACCTTTTCCAACTCAGACCTAACTCAGCAGTCTAACTGAGACTGGACTGGTAGGAAAGCAGTCAGGAGCACTCTGTTCCGCAGAACTGCCGAGTCACGCGCACAGCTGCACTGTCAGAGCTGTTAATATAACAAATGATGATGATGATGATGATGATGATGGAGGTGGGGGACGTCGGGAGAAAAGATGATTGACCAAGCTGCTTTAAAATAATGAAACTTCCACGTTTCCCTTGGCCTCCCCTCTTTAAAGTCAAACATTTAGCAGAGGAACAGACAAAGAGTTCTAACTTCTCTATAAAGACACACGAGAATCACCTTTTCCAACTCAGACCTAACTCAGCAGTCTAACTGAGACTGGACTGGTAGGAAAGCAGTCAGGAGCACTCTGTTCCGCAGAACTGCCGAGTCACGCGCACAGCTGCACTGTCAGAGCTGTTAATATAACAAATTATGATGATGATGATGGTGATGATGGAGGTGGGGGAAGGAGCAGTAACACAAGAGGCTCCAAATGTGTGGGTTTTTCCCAAAGAAAGCGCGGGGTACTCACCTCCCATGGTATTGCCCTCCCACGTTTCCCAGGAAGCTCAGAATACAAACGGATCCCCACTTCGACCACAGTGATCACCACGCAGAAGTTTAATACATATTTTAAAAAGTATAATAACAATTCTTGACAGAAAAGTAACAAATACTAATCACTAATATCCCCAAAGTTAACACAGAGTTACCCAGCTTTAGGTACAGCTTTTTTTCCTTAATTTTTGATTTTTTTTTTTAAATTTTGCACTGCAACTGCACCCATTTTCTACTGACTTTACCATCAGTATGAAATACTGATTTGAAGACAAAAATCCCCAAAGCAGGAAAATTCAGCTTTCAATGTTAACCTGCATCAGGACTTTACCCAGCTGATTTTATCTCCCTCCATATCACAGCTGGACTTGAAACCTTTACAACAAGTATTCTTTATGACACCCTTTCACAGCCTAATTCATATTCTCTTAAACAGTTCCATGGTAGCAATTGAAATGAAAACAAACACGTTGTCGTCTTCCTCAATTTAAAAACGAATTGGAGAGCGTACTGAAGGAAATTCATCCCTGAGTAACAAAGCATTTAAAAGCTGCATCCCATTGCCAGTCACTGCAACATCCTATGGCATTTACTCTAGTAAATTAATCAGCACTACGAACAGGCAGCAACAGAACTGGTCACAGTCCAACGTGTTTGCAGCGTTGTTGCATTGATCCCGTGATCCTGCTTAATGAAACTGCAAGGGAACATTAGGAAATGGGATAAATAGAAACAGTGTCTTTTATTATTTTAAGTTGAACGTCAGATTGACAGCTAAACCGTGCTGGATCCCAGGGAATTCAGAGCAGTGGTGGTCAGCAACTGGCTTCTTTGGATATCCAGAGGGTTTCTAGGGGTGTCTTCAGCCGAACAGCAGGAGGAGAACAATCGTGATGGAGTTCAGGGCTATTAATGGCACTGCAGAGGGGGAAAAAAAGAGAACTTAATAGTGAAAACTTTGCTTTCCACGTTGCCAAAATGACAGAACTTCATATAACCTTGGCAGAAGGAGCAGAACCAGTCAAAATTTTAGAAATAGTTTCATTTTCCTGTGTAAAGTTGGAAGCAGTGGAAGGAGCCAGGCTGAAAGACATTGGTAGAAAGCAACAGCAGAAATATTTTTCTGTTTTAACTTTAACCCAGAGCCTTTAGTTCTGTTTTCACTTCAACACAAATAACTCTTTCTCCAAATGAAAGTAAACTATCTAAAATTCAGCTTATATCCTTGGCTTTACTGTGCTTTAGAATAAATGTTTTGGGTTTTACTCAGTGGTAGGCAAGACAGGCTAAGATTTGTTACTCCCCCTCTACCATCATCTACAAAATGAATTTTTGGTGTCCTTCATAAGGAAGAACTGTCAGTAACTTACAAATTAAGTGTATTTTCTCCCCATCTTCTGGCTTGCCTTTCAGAAACCCTGGAATTACCTTTCCCTCACAGGTACTTCCCACAAAGATGGATTCAGACAAAGTGACTGACGCTAATTGCACACTTTGGTTGATCACCACACTTCCTCCCAGCTGCCAAACTCCAAGGGAAGGCAAAAGCTCAGCAGGAGAAACACAAGCCAGAGCCAGGGAATGTTTTTGCACTTTTACCAGAATTAGGGCACTTTAGTGAGGCCTGCACCCTCTCACAGAGTCCAGGCCTGGAGGAAGTAAAGATTAGTGCAGGAACAAGACACTACAGATTGTAATAATAATAATAATAACAACAATCAACATAATCATAATAATAATGGTAAATATTGTGCCCTTACCTCTCATAACGGTTCGTATCGATCGAATGAGGTTTGTCAGCTGTGCTTTAATTCCTGGTTCCTCTCCAAATCCTCCAATCCCTTGATCGCTTCCCCAGCCAACTGGGTCACATAAAAACAGACACACGCTTTAGGAAAAAAACCCCAAAACCACACAACAAATGCTGCAATTTTAACGAGCAATCTATCCTGAATGTAGCTTACACTAACGCAGAGAGACAGCCCAATCAGCCTTATTTCACGAGCAAATTTTAACACAGCAGGCTGAAAGCTGTTAAACCTCACGTTAGGAGATGTTTCTCTAAAGAAAACCCCTCACCTTTTTAATACACCACTGTTCCCTGCATGCCCAGACTAACAGGTGAGTTCATCTGGGCTTAAAAAATAAAAACAGCTGTCAAAATAAACCCTAAACCAACTGCAACCTGTTCACAGAGAGACAGCCCAATCTTATTTCACGAGCAAATTTTAACACAGTGGCTGAAAGCTGTTAAACCTCACATTAGGAGATGTTTCTGTAAAGAAAACCCCTCACCTTTTTAATACACCACTGTTCCCTGCATGCCCAGACTAACAGGTGAGTTCATCTGGCCTTAAAAAATAAAAACAGCTGTCAAAATAAACCCTAAACCAACTGCAACCTGTTCGTAGTACTGGAAGCAAAACAGCAAATAAGTGCTGGGTGTGAAGCGATGATGCTTCAGCACTGAGAGAGGGGCCACAGCAGGCAAAAACAGCCAGCACAAATTCCAAAATCGGGGTGATGATTTTGCAACTGCTGTAAAAAAAAAGCTAGAACTTCTGAGGGGGAAAAATTGGGAACTTTTCTGAGTGTAGCAGATGTCCTGAAGTTTTATGATGCCCAGACACAGCATGATGGGACCAGGGATGTGTCCAGGGACTTCCAAGACCTGCTGGTCACAGCCCTTACCATTTTGGGGAGGAGCAGCTCTCACCACACCAAACTCCACTGCCCAAGTTTCCTTCTCCAAAGGCCACTTTTGAGTGATTTTTGTTCTCCCTGGCACCAAACTGAGGGTGGTGGGCAAGTCCTCTCTCTCACCAGCCTTGCCAGCAGCTGCTTCCCACTGGGATGAGCCTGGAGCTGCATTCCCAAGTCTCAAGAGGCTGACAAGTGGCTTCACCCATCCCACCAGCTCCCACGTCTCCCTTTCATAATTCCAGCTGCTCGTCAGGAGAGCAAAAGAAAAGCCCAAACCCCAGCTGAGCAGATCCCTTGACACAAATCCAGCCGGGAGGAAGGGATGCCCCTCTGCACTCCTGCCAAAAATCCTGGCTCAGCCTGACGTGGAGAAGTCAGGATTCTCCACACCAGTGAACTAGGAACCGTGGCTCATTGGCCTTTTTTTTTTTTTTTCCCCAGGGCTTTGCAGATCTTTGTCGGTGCATTTTCTCTGTTTTGCAGGGCTTTGGCTTCTTTTGAAGGGCAAGGATGCCCAGCCCTGGGAATCCCACGGACCGAGAGTCGCCATCTCATCAAGAGCCAGGCACAACAAGAAAAACGAAACCTTTACACGACACCAAACGCTCCGAGGCGCGGCACCAAGGGCCGTGAAACAGTTAAAAATGAACAGGAAAAAAGGACAATTACAGGGGAAAAAAAAATAAAATAAAAAAATAGGAAAAAAAAAAAGAGAGACAAAGGTACAAGGAAAGCGGCCGGGAATTCATCCCCATAGCCCAAACGCACCGCGATTCCCAAATCCGCACCGGCAGGGAGCGGCGGCGGGGGCCGCGGCCACCCCCCCCACCCTCCACCACAGGCCGGGCGGCCCTCGCAGCTCACCGTGGCGGAGGAAGCGCTCCTCGTGCAGCACGGCCACGGCATTGACGATGAGGAGGGAGGCCTGCAGCAGCGAGTAGAGCGTGAAGGCCATGGCCCGGCACGGCACCGGGAGCGGCACCGGGAGCGGCGGCGGCGCCGAGCGAGACGTGGCGGGCGGGGGGCGGGGCCTCGCCTCACGGCCGCGGCCGGATGGGCGTGGCCTCACCCAAGCGCTGGGGCGTGGCCTTGACGGGCGTGGCCTCTCCGCGGCAGCGCAGGGAGGGGCGTGGCTTCACGGGGCGGGACACACATGGGGCGTGGCTCGAAGCGCCCTGCCCAATGGGGGGCGTGGATGGGGGGCGTGGTTTTGTTAGGGCGTGGCCTCCCCGCCGCGCTGTTCCCGCCCCCTGAGGGGCGTGGCCTAGAGGGGGCGTGGCCTCGGTGCGGACAGCCGCGGGCGCTTGCGGGCTCCGCGCGGATCCCTCGGGACCCCGAGCCCAGCGGAGCGCCTCGGGGATCCCGGGAGCCCTGCGGACCCCTCCGGCCCCTGGACCTGGCAGAGCCCCCTGGGTCCTTCGGTGCCCCCGGGATTCCCTGGAGCCTCTCGGGTCCGTCGGATCTATGGATCCCTCAGGTCAATGGATCACCTGGATGCCTGTGGATCCCTCGACTCCGTGGATCCCTCGGAGCCCCGCGGGTCCCGTGGAGCCCCTTGGGCCCATTGGATCCGTGGATCCCTCACGGCCATGGGTCCTTTGGAGCCCCGTGGAGCCCTCGAGTCCCTGGGTCCCCCAGAGCCCCGTGGGTCCCTCGGAGCACCTTGGGTCTGTCGGGACTGTGGATCCCTCGGGTTCATGGGTGCCTCAGAGCGCTGTGGTTCCATCAGAACCCCTTGGGTCCATTGGGTCCGTGAATGCCTTCAGCCCGTGGATCTCTTGGAACGCCGTGGATCCCTTGGGTCCATTGGTCATTCAGAGACCTCTGGATCCCTTGGGCCCATTGATCTGTCAGAGCCTCTTGGGCTCACTGGGTCCATGGATCCCTCGTGTCCACGGACCCCGTGCAGCCCTGTGGATCCCTCGGGGCTATGGATCCGCGTGGGTTCCTAGGAGCCCCTTGGGCCCCTCGGATCCATGGATCCCTCGGGTCCATGGATCCCTCGGAGCCCCGTGGTTTTCTCAGGTCCGCGGGTCCTTCGGAGCCCCGTGGGTTTCTCAGGTCCGTGGATCCCTCGGAGCCCCGTGGACCTCGCAGCGCAGGCTGTGACGTGGGAAGCTCCACTCGCCGTGCAGCAAGTGCCCTTCGGATTCGGAGCGGGAGCAAGGCTCATCCTCCTCCTCCTCCTCCTCCTCCTCCTCCTCCTCCTCCTCC